CACCGCCTGCACCTCCCCCGATCGGGAGGTCCAGGTGCCGCTTTTCCATAGGGGAAGCGCCTGCAGATCAGCTCCCGCCTTGGCCCCGGAGTCGGCTAACTGGTTTCCCTGGAAATCGAGAAGCGTCTCCTGAGAGCCGGAATGGGCCCGAACCTTCGCCAAAACAAACTCGCTACAAACAAAAACCAGACGCGGGCCCAGAGGTCGGCGTGAGGCATTTTGGGTGAGCAGTACCACTTGCGACTCCTCTTTAAACCTCGGATGACAGTGCTATTGTCGATGCCGACACGGATGGGTGGGACATTCCAGGGCCTTCATCAGCCCATACATCTCAGCACGAAGAACTGACGCCTGGCACCTGAGCCCTGGGAGGGAGCCATGCATGACCCGAACAACTGCCCCCTCCCAATCCAGAAAAAGCAGCGCCCCAGTCAACGCTCTTGAGCCCAAGAGGGCCCTTCCCGAGCCATCGTAGTAGACCCAGCCTCCGACGAGCGGCGGATTTTCAAAACTGGGGTGGAGCTCCTCCTGGGAAGGCGTGCAAACTAGGAAGGGATCCTCCAAGGGGTGCTCAACCAGACCACGAGAGAAGTAGAGGACTCAGACGAGGAGGACTCGGCTCGATGCACGATCCCTTGTAGATTCTCAGCCTCGGCTGTCTCAGCTCGAGCGGCTTCTTGATCTGGGAAAGAGCGCATTCTGTGGGCGCTTGGAGGGGGTTGTTGGGTGGGTCGGAACCGGACCCCCCCCTGGATTGAAGAGGGGGGGTTCGACCCCCCCCCTCCCGTCTGGTGGTGGTGGTGGCGGTGGTGGGGGTGGCGGTGTGCTGGTTGTGTGGTGGTGGTGGTGGTGGTGGTGGTGGTAGTAGGTTGTGGTGATGATGGTGGAGGTTGTGGTCGTGGCGGTGGTGCGGTGGTGGTGGTGGTGGTGGTGGTGGTGGGTTGTGGTGGTGGTGGTGGTGGTGGTGGTGGTGGTTGTGTGGTGGCTTGTGGTGTTGGTGGTGGTGGTGTGGTGTTTTGTGGTGGTTGTGGTGGTGGTGGGTTGTGGTGGTGGTAATGGTGGTGCTGGTGGTGGTGGCGGTGGTGGTGTGGTGCATTGTGGTGGTGGTGGTGCTAGAGGTTCGTTGGTGGTGGTGGTGGTGGGTTGTTGTTGTGGTGGTGGTGGTGGTTGTGGTGGTGGTGGTTGTTGTGGTCGTGGTGGTGGTGTTGTGGTGGTGGTGGTAGTGGTGGTGGCGGCGGCGTGGTGGGTTGTGGTGGTGGTGGTGGGCTGTGGTGTTGGTGGTGGTGAAGCTGGTGGTGGTGTTGGTGGTGGTGGTGGGTGGTGGTGTGGTGGTTTGTGGTGGTGGTGGTTGTGGTGGTGGTGTGGTGGTTTGTGGTGGTGGTTGTGGTGGGTTGTGGTGGTGGTGGTGGTGGTGGGGTTGTGGTGATTGTGATGGTGGTGGTGGTGTGGTGGATTGTGGTGGTGGTGGGCTGTGGTTATGGTGGGTTGTGGTGGTGGTGGTGGCGGTTGTGGTGGTGGTGGTGGCGTAGTGGTGGTGGGGTGGTGGTGGTGGTGGTTGTGGTTGTGGTGGGTTGTGGTGGTGATGGTGGTGGTGGTTGCGGTGGTGGTGGTGGTTGTGGTTGGGGGGTACTTTGTGGTGGTGGTGGTGGTGGTGTGGCCTTCGGGTCTTCCCGCTACCGTGCCTTGGCTTTGGGTCAGAGTTCTAATGGATGCCTCTTGGGTTCTTGTCCGAGGGGTCTGAGGAGCATTTGTGAAGCCTCTTGAGCGCCTCTTGGGCGTCTCTTGGACCTTCCTACGGGCCTCCCAGTGGCTTTTGGGGGGCGAGGGCTCGATATGATTTGTGTTTCCCCTCTGCGGCCTCTGGGCCCTCTGGTCATCGTCGCTGCGTCCTCGCCGTCGGCGCTGCCGGCCGCCGCCAGCGTCGGCGCCAGCGCGGGGGGGTGGGCTTCGGGGACGGGGGGGGGTTAGGGGGGAGGGGAGTCCC